TTACCTATATTTCACAAAATTTGAGCATATGTTCTTTTCAAGTTATGAAAATTATTCATTAAACTTGTTTGTGTTTTTCGCAGCAAAAACATCAAACTTTTTCATACTTGATTTTTATGTCTTTGGTCCGATTTTAGGTCAGTTGTGTTAATACAGTATGTGAGAATAAAAACAATATCTTTAAATTCAGACGTGTGAGGTTGTGCTGAAAAGAATGATACCAAACATGACATGGTGAACAATTTGAAAAGGTGAAATATAAGGATAAAATCAAAAGTAATCAGAATCCAGAGGGTTGACGTCAAAATGTTTTTGAAATGCAAGCGAGAGGCGTCGGGTGACCCAGAAAACCTTTGCAAAAGTACACTGATGAGTATTATGAGAAAGAGGGAATGCGATTCCACCCTGCTAAGATATGTGTGAACAAAGCAGTCAGAGGTTCTTACAACCTACTCCTGAACAGACTCTGTTATATTCGCCTTGACCAGGTGTGTAGGTTCCTTCATTAGAACTCTTTCTGGGAGATCTTACAAAAGAAATTAGGGTGAAGAGAGGCAAAAGCAAGGCACATCAAAGGATTTGTGTTAGGGGGTCCACAATGCTATGTGAATTTGCACAATGCAGAGCAAGACCCAGGTGAAGTGTAAAGTCTGAGTGATACATCCATAATATAATAATTCAGGTATCTGGTACTGCTGAACTGTTGTAATCTAGACTATGAACGATATTTGAATATTTAACAGTGATAAACAGTAAAACTGTAAAACGTTTAAAACTGATGATTTGATGTGAAGTTGGTTTAAATATGTTATTCAGTGAAAACTTATTTGTACTTTTTTTCTCTGGAAAAAATAAAGTAAAGCACTCTTGTATTGTTTTCTTTGGTTTTTCCCCCTATGATGTTTATAACAGTTAAACACTATGACTTTAACATTAATTTCAATCCATCCGTACATCTTCTTCTTATCTGTGGCCGGGTCGCGGGGGCAGCAGGCCAAGCAGAGAAGCCCAGACCTCCCTCTCCCCAGCCACCTCCTCCAGCTTGGGGGAACACCAAGGCGTTCCCAGGCCAGCCGAGAGATATAATCTCGCCAGCGTGTCCTGGGTCTGCCCTGGGACCTTCTCCTGGTGGGACATGCCTGGCACACCTCACCCAGGCGGCGTCCAGGAGGCATCGTTGTCAATGCCCGAGCCACCTCAACTGGTTCCTTTCGATGTGGAGGAGCAGCAACTCTACTTTGAGCCCCTCCCGGGTGGCTGAACTTCTCACCCTATCTCTAAGGGAGAGACCAGCCACCCTTCAAAGAAATCCCATTTCTTCCGCTGCATCCACGATCTCGCTCTTTTGGTCACTACCCACAGCTCGTGACAATAGTTGAAGGTAGGGACGTAGATCGACAGGTAAATTGGAAGCTTCACTTTTACACTCAGCTCTCTCTTCACCACAACAGACCGGTAACAGACGTGTCAATCTCCTGCTCTCTTCTCCTGTCACTTGTGAACGAGACCCAGAGATACAGTGGGGCAAAAAAGTATTTAGTCAGCCACCGATTGTGCAAGTTCCCCCACCTAAAATGATGACAGAGGTCAGTAATTTGCACCAGAGGTACACTTCAACTGTGAGAGACAGAATGTGAAAAAAAAATCCATGAATCCACATGGTAGGATTTGTAAAGAATTTATTCATAAATCAGGGTGGAAAATAAGTATTTGGTCAATAACAAAAATACAACTCAATACTTTGTAACATAACCTTTGTTGGCAATAACAGAGGTCAAACGTTTACTATAGGTCTTTACCAGGTTTGCACACACAGCAGCTGGTATTTTGGCCCATTCCTCCATGCAGATCTTCTCGAGAGCAGTGATGTTTTGGGGCTGTCGCCGAGCAACACGGACTTTCAACTCCCGCCACAGATTTTCTATGGGGTTGAGGTTTGGAGACTGGCTAGGCCACTCCAGGACTTTCAAATGCTTCTTACGGAGCCACTCCTTTGTTGCCCGGGCGGTGTGTTTTGGATCATTGTCATGTTGGAAGACCCAGCCTCGTTTCATCTTCAAAGTTCTCACTGATGGAAGGAGGTTTTGGCTCAAAATCTCACGATACATGGCCCCATTCATTCTGTCCTTAACACGGATCAGTCGTCCTGTCCCCTTGGCAGAAAAACAGCCCCATAGCATGATGTTTCCACCCCCATGCTTCACAGTAGGTATGGTGTTCTTGGGATGCAACTCAGTATTCGTCGTCCTCCAAACATGACGAGTTGAGTTTATACCAAAAAGTTCTACTTTGGTTTCATCTGACCACATGACATTCTCCCAATCCTCTGCTGTATCATCCATGTGCTCTCTGGCAAACTTCAGACGGGCCTGGACATGCACTGGCTTCAGCAGCGGAACACGTCTGGCACTGCGGGATTTGATTCCCTGCCGTTGTAGTGTGTTACTGATGGTGACCTTTGTTACTTTGGTCCCAGCTCTCTGCAGGTCATTCACCAGGTCCCCCCGTGTGGTTCTGGGATCTTTGCTCACTGTTCTCATGATCATTTTGACCCCACGGGATGAGATCTTGCGTGGAGCCCCAGATCGTGGGAGATTATCAGTGGTCTTGTATGTCTTCCATTTTCTGATGATTGCTCCCACAGTTGATTTTTTTCACACCAAGCTGCTTGCCTATTGTAGATTCACTCTTCCCAGTCTGGTGCAGGTCTACAATACTTTTCCTGGTGTCCTTCGAAAGCTCTTTGGTCTTGGCCATGGCGGAGTTTGGAGTCTGACTGTTTGAGGCTGTGGACAGATGATGAGTTCAAACAGGTGCCATTCATACAGGTAATGAGTGGGGGACAGAAAAGCGTCTTACAGAAGACGTTACAGGTCCGTGAGAGCCAGAGATTTTCCATGTTTGAGGTGACCAAATACTTATTTTCCACCCTAATTTACGAATAAATTCTTTACAAATTCTACCATGTGAATTCATGGATTTTTTTTTCACATTCTGTCTCTCACAGTTGAAGTGTACCTCTGGTGCAAATTACTGACCTCTGTCATCATTTTAAGTGGGGGAACTTGCACAATCGGTGGCTGACTAAATACTTTTTTGCCCCACTGTACTTAGACTCCACCACTTGGGGTAGGAACTCATCCCTGACCCGGAGTGGGCACTCTATGGCAGGTCCAGGGGACTTGCTGACCTCCGGCTCAGGCAGAGACTTGGCTGGACCTGACAGTGAGATAGAAGCTACTGATGGTAGAGCTGGTGGTGACGTTGGAGCCGCAGGCAATTGAGCCGATGGTGGCATGGCAGCCGTAGGCAGTGTTGGCTGGCTCCAATGCATGAAAAATCATTAGGCAGGTCCAGGCAAAGTGCTGACCTCCAGTTCGTTCAGAGCATGTCTCTCAGGCGCGCTGCTGACCCCGGCAAGGGGAGAGCAGGTCTGGGCGGCATGCTGAACCGCGGGGCGGCCGTGGCAGGCCCAGGTGACGTGCTGACCCACAGCGCATGATTGATTTATTGTGAGCAACACAAATGTTAACAAATGGAGAATTTTGCTGAAGCACATTATTAGAGTCACAGCCGGCTGTCTTTAACAGTGTCTTTAACTTTTCTTTCTTTGTTTGTGCGAGTATTTCTCTTGTTCATAAAAACTGGCAGTCTGGTATAATAAGGAGCTTTGTTGGACATTAATCATTGTTTCACAGAACAACATCTTCAAGATCTTCAATTCAGGTGTTGTGACAAAATTTGATATCCGTTTTTATGGTGGCTTTTTTTTATACATCTAATTTTTAATTCTGTAAACAGACTGTGATATTCTGGATTAGGCTCTTAAAAGGATCAGGACAGAAGGACGTGGATAGGTGCCTTTATTGAACAGCAGGACATCACACACTAATTTGTTGTTTCTTAGCGGTGCAGAAAACTACCCTTTTTTGTTGTTATATATTGGTCAACCAAGAACTAGCCCTGTAACAGGCACTTCTGTATTTTACCACTGGGGGGCAACAATTCACTCTATTACACAGACTGTAGTGACAGGATTTATGAAGAGGTTATATATCAAATACATTAATGACCTGTTTCTGAAGTATCTTTATGACTGCATATTTGTACCCATTTTGTCATCAATCCAGTGCTTTCTGGTCATTTCAAATAAGTTTCAAATAAGTTTATAAAACTGTGACGTTATATTTGTCACAATTTCTGCTTCCCTCTTGGGGAAGATCTTTTTTGAAAAACATTACACTTTTTACCCAGATAAACAAAGGATATATATATATTTTATCAAACACTGACTGCAGGAGCTACTTAGTGACAGGAATGCTCGTTTTGGCCTTTAAATACTTGAAATTGTTTGTGACAGATATGATTGGCTTATTTTTGACAGATGTAGGTCAACAGGTGACGTATAACAGCTTAAATTCCCGCAATGATTTTTTTTTTAAACTTTTTGCCAGGCGATCAGAATTTCACGAAGCTCTGTCCATATTTTTATGCTGCGTTACCTTGGAGGTCAGCGCTGAAGTTACCCGGAAACAGTACGACCTTCAAAATAAAATGGAAACCTACTCATCCACAACATACGCTAAAAACAAGTTTTTTTAAAAGTGTGTGTGTGTGTGTGTGTGTGTGTGTGTGTGTGTGTGTGTGTGTGTGTGTGTGTGTGTGTGTGTGTGTGAGAGAGAGAGAGAGAGAGAGAGCAAGGGATCTAAATGCTTTGATTTCACATTCCAAACCTGTGGAGCGCAAAAAGTTTTGTTTTTTAAATGTATAATATTGATGTGACAGACAGTTTGTTTGTTTTATTTTTTATTATCACATCTAATAAAAAAATCATAAGCCTGGGCCATTAGAAACGCTTTTTCTTTAATTGTATCACCAAATAAATGTAATTTCAGTTCAATGCACACTGAACAACAAATTATTTGTAGCAAATAGAAATATTCAACTTTTATTCTGAAAATGTATTATCGGAAGTTTTGGAGCAAAGGGCATGCGCACTGGGTTTTCCTGCTTTGAGTAGCAGGAACCTGTGTTGAATCTCAGGCGAACATGAAGCCGCATCCTCGCGTTACTCGGACAAAGTGGGCTGACAGACTGGACGCTGAGCCGGAACGTTCCGGTAAATGCAGCTGGCATCGAGACGAGAAGAAGAAACTTCTTGTTGCCCTTAAAGGACTGAGTAGCAGGACCGCCGCAGGAAAAACAGACATCGACTGTGCCTTCCTGAGAAAACACCTGCCTACTCGGTCCCTTTCAGAGGTACGGCCCTCATACAGAAACGACGCTTTTCGTTGGTACTTAAGTCAAAACAAGTCTTTCGTAAATATCCTTTTTAATTTATATAAACAGAAAGTAAGGAAGTATGTGTTTGAGTGGTTATTTGTTTGTTTTAACAGTCCTAATTTTTAATACGTCTTGAATCTGTATATTTCCCCTTAAATCGTAAGGAACGTGTATTTGTGCCTTCAGATCGTTGTCACTGCCAAACAGCTCAAATTTAGTGTCATTTATTGGATCGGATGATTAAAGTCTGAAGAAACTGGAAATATGAGTCCCCAGTAATGACAAACTTTGGATTTCCAGTGAGAACGATGACATCCCACACCATCGCACACTTCCTTCACCAAAAGCTGAAAGCTGTCACCTTATTGGTGCAGCAAGCAGCGTAGCGTCCTCCGTGTCATAGACAGAATCTGGACTCATCATCACCAAAGATGATATTCCTCCACATCTTCAGGTTCCAGTGCACATGTTGTCAATACCAGTGCAAACAGTAAAGGGCAGTCATGGCAGCCCTATGAGGCCAGAGACTGGCCGTGTGCCGTCTATGCTAGATTGTCTGGAGTGCCATGTAATCCTGCAAATCTGTAGAAGACCGCCTATGGTTCCTGAGTGCTGACATCTCCCATTATTTCGAACTTGGTCTTCAATTTGGAGATTTAGGACCAACAACACCAGCTTAACGTTGCCCTATGGTGTGGGTCAGTCAGCGTGGCATACTTTGACCATGCTCACAGGGACCTGACTGTCAGCATCTTGTCAGAATAAGTTGTTTGTCATTGATAGAGAAAATTTGGCAAGTTTTCCATCGTTGTAACCGCTGCAAGTGCATTTTCCTTAGAAACGTGACAGCGTTTTAGGGGACTAAAGAGCATGAGGTTTATTGCCAAATATTGTTACAAAAAATAATCTAACACAAGATTCCTTACTTTTTGAACTGAGTTTATTAATTTTTGTTTATACTGTGTGCTGACTGTGCATAAAGACACGCCCTGTCCTTTCCCTCCTTCAGATCCAGTCTGTGGTTGAACTTCTGAAGAACAAAGTGCTCTTAAATGCCAGGTTGAAGCTGAAAAGGCAAAGGAGGGAGGAGAGGAACGTTAGAAAACCCATTGAGGAGTGGACATACATGGCCTCTTCTTTAGTGGGAACCCTTGAGGAAACTATTTCCACTGCTTTCTCTCAGGTAGGCATTTTTAAATTTAGTTTAACTTTATTTTTGTGATAATTTAAGTAAACAACAAATCCTTCACACAACAGTCATACTTCAGGATAGATCTGTTATCAGTAGGGAGAAACGAGACCCAGTATTTTAATTCATTGGAATTGTTATTCTGCTTGCCTATTGGTTCCACTTATTGGTTCTCCTTGCACTTGTGTACAGTCAGCTGATTTCAATTTGTGTGCCTGTGGAGAAAAATAGTGGCGCAGTCTACAGCGTGGATATGGACCGAACTCTTATTTTTATTGAAGAAAAGGACAAGAGCATGATGATAAAGTGCAAACTACATACAGGACAGAAAAACAAATCTCTTATTATACTGCTAACAGAACCTCAGCTCTCTGCAAACACCTGTACAGACAGGATGCTAATGCTAAGGCTAAGTTACTCAGACCCCAGCCCAGCAGCCAGAACTGAACTTCAGCAGCTAACAAGTCAAGCTGCAGCCTTCTTTCCTACCTGTTCATGTTTCTCAAGTTGAATTGCTGTGGTAATCGGTAAAACTCTCCTTGTGCTGATTGTCATCTTTGCTTTGTGCTGTCTCCAACAAAGAGGGGGGAAAGTGGTGGAGCCTGTTCTTTATACCCAAAGACCCACTGACAAAAAAAGAAGACTCATAGACAAACAGGCAAAACAAAGTTTTTCAAAGTCTATCGTTTCACATATTTGTATCAGAGAATTTTTCCCAGTACTTTCCGAATCTTATTTGAGGTTGCACGGGGTGGGTGCCAGTGCCCAACCAGTCTGCATGTCTTTTGTGAACTTGCAGAAGGAATCCGACCGTGTCCCTTCGAGTATTCTGTGAGAGGTGCTTTTGGAATTATCGAATTTTTATGGACAGAATTTAAATTGGGTGGTCTCAGAATTTCGTCTCGGCTCTTTGCAGATGATGTGGTTCTGTTGGCTTCATCAGGTGGTGGCCTCCAGCTCGCACTGCAGCGGTTCACAGCCGAGTGTGAAGCAGCACCTCTGAGTCTGAGGCCATGGTTCTTAGCCAGAAAAATGGTGGAGTCAACGACGAGTTACTGTCCCAAGTGCGGGTGTTTAAGTATATCGGAGTCTTGTTGAGTGATGAGAGAGGGGGTGCAGGAAATCCACAGACAGATCGATGCTGCGGCTGCAGTGATGCAGATGCTGCACCTAAAATTGTGGTGAAAAGAGAGCTGAGTGTTCTGGCCATCCCAGGAGGGCTCAGAGTAGAGATGCTACTCCTCCACATGGAAAGAAGCCAGTAAAGGTGGTACGGGCATCTAACATCTTCCTGGGTGAGGCGTAACAGGTATGTCCCACCAGAAGGAGGCTCCAGGGCAGAGCCAGGACATGCTGGAGAGACTGTACATCTCAGCTAGTCTGGGAACACCTTGGTGTTCATCGAGATCAGCTAGAGCAGCGGTTCTCAAACCTTTTATGATGAGTACCACCTCAGAAAATATATGGCATTAAAGTACCACCTCCATGAGCTTGGCTGATATCAAAATGAATATAGCTTTTTCAAAAAAGACAAATCAATAATGTGCAACAGCTCATCTTAATTTGCAAGGAATAATTCTTGCTGCATGTAAATTAAACTAAAGTTTTCTGTTCTTTGCTTTTAAAATTCCTGCTGATAGTTACATTTGTGTAGTTAAAAACACAGTTGAATCAATGTTGTTCTCCCACATTCTGCTTCTCTCTGTGTTTTCAGATGCTGATCGTGTCTTCTACAGAGCCTTGCACTTTGAGAAATGGTGACCCTCCCCAGGTGCACAGACCACCCACAGATGGTCTTACCATCCCTTTGAGGCCAATACCGGTGCCAGTGCAAGGTACAAACCTGTAGCTCCTCCAACCACCTCTCAGCATCATGTATTCAGCTGCCAGAAACGAGAGCCTGCTCCTTTTTATTTTTAATGGTAGCCACCCTTGTATTGAGACCATTTCTGATAAACGTTTGGTAAGCGGTAGAGTGTTTTCTAAGCGCACACTGCACAGTATGCTGATGTACGCCAGGTTTTTGCTTAATGGCTCTTTCTGAATCGCATTGTTGGTGCAAAAATATATATTTTTTTGTACTGTCAAATTGTGTTATCTTTCTCAGTTTCTCAGTTACCATTTTTTAAGTAACAGGCTGCTAGTAACAAAGCGCCTATAATTTGAATTTTTTTCATGGTTTCATGGTAAATCAGCCATAAAAGGCTGGTCTTGTATTTTTATCACACTGGATGGAATGAGGGTGGGCAATGCCAACAATCAAGTTTGTGTATGCCGTAACTCGAGAACGAAGTGATGTAGTAACTGGAGAAGGAAGTCACCTAGGATTTTGAAAATGATAATCTAGATGTATCTGCTAAAAAATTTCAAAAAACTTTGAATGCCAGTGAACTTGACCGTAAGGTTTTCTGGAAATCTTTTAAACGCAATAAGTTGAGAATGAGGCATTTTGGATTTTGGAATTGAATTTAACTCAGTTTTATTTACACAGCACCAAATCACAACAACAGTCACCTCAAGGTGCTTTATATTGTACAGTAGATTCTACAATAATACATACAGAAAGAACCCCAACAATCATATGACCCCCTATGAGCAAGCAATTTGGCGACAGTGGGAAGGAAAAACTCCCTTTTAACAGGAAGAAATCTCCAGCAGAACCAGGCTCAGGGAGGGAGGGGCCATCTGCTGCGATCGGTTGGGGGGAGAGATGGAAGACAAGATAAAGACATGCTGTGGAAGAGAGTGTGAGATTTATACCATAGGTGCATCTGCAAGGAGGCTGAAGGGTCTGACTGGGCCCTGCCAGTATTGACGCTACACTGATTTATTTCTATATTTTTATGTGTTTCATAGGTCAGTGTGAAATGATTGACAAACAACAAAAACATTCCCCCTGAAGGTTCACAGTGCATCCGTAAAGTATTCACTTGGACCACAATTTGTCATGTTACAATGTCAAGACCAAAATGGACTAAATTCATTTATCATAGCAGAAATTCTACACCTAACACCCCATAATGACAAAATGATAAGTTACCATAAGCTTTGCACACCTATTTTTGGCAGTTTCTCCCATTCTACTTACAGAACTTCTCGAGCTCCATCAGGTTGGATGGGGAGCCACTACTTTTTAACAGGAAGAAAGCCGCAGCAAAGCAGGGCTCAGGCTGCCATCTGCTGCAACTAGTTGGGGATGAGGGGTGTTAGGCATGACACAAGATGCTGTGGAAGAGAGCCAGACGAGGCCAAAGGGTTCAGTCTTTGTTTCATCAGGCAAGAATGGTACAGTGGGGCAAAAAAGTATTTAGTCAGCCACCGATTGTGCAAGTTCCCCCACTTAAAATGATGACAGAGGTCAGTAATTTGCACCAGAGGTACACTTCAACTGTGAGAGACAGAATGTGAAAAAAAAATCCATGAATTCACATGGTAGGATTTGTAAAGAATTTATTTGTAAATCAGGGTGGAAAATAAGTATTTGGTCACCTCAAACAAGGAAAATCTCTGGCTCTCACAGACCTGTAACGTCTTCTGTAAGACGCTTTTCTGTCCCCCCACTCGTTACCTGTATGAATGGCACCTGTTTGAACTCATCATCTGTATAAAAGACACCTGTCCACAGCCTCAAACAGTCAGACTCCAAACTCCGCCATGGCCAAGACCAAAGAGCTTTCGAAGGACACCAGGAAAAGTATTGTAGACCTGCACCAGACTGGGAAGAGTGAATCTACAATAGGCAAGCAGCTTGGTGTGAAAAAAATCAACTGTGGGAGCAACCATCAGAAAATGGAAGACATACAAGACCACTGATAATCTCCCTCGATCTGGGGCTCCACGCACGATCTCATCCCGTGGGGTCAAAATGATCATGAGAACAGTGAGCAAAGATCCCAGAACCACACGGGGGGACCTGGTGAATGACCTGCAGAGAGCTGGGACCAAAGTAACAAAGGTCACCATCAGTAACACACTACAACGGCAGGGAATCAAATCCCGCAGTGCCAGACGTGTTCCGCTGCTGAAGCCAGTGCATGTCCAGGCCCGTCTGAAGTTTGCCAGAGAGCACATGGATGATACAGCAGAGGATTGGGAGAATGTCATGTGGTCAGATGAAACCAAAGTAGAACTTTTGGTATAAACTCAACTCGTCGTGTTTGGAGGAAGAAGAATACTGAGTTGCATCCCAAGAACACCATACCTACTGTGAAGCATGAGGGTGGAAACATCATGCTATGGGGCTGTTTTTCTGCCAAGGGGACAGGACGACTGATCCGTGTTAAGGACAGAATGAATGGGGCCATGTATCGTGAGATTTTGAGCCAAAACCTCCTTCCATCAGTGAGAACTTTGAAGATGAAACGAGGCTGGGTCTTCCAACATGACAATGATCCAAAACACACCGCCCGGGCAACAAAGGAGTGGCTCCGTAAGAAGCATTTGAAAGTCCTGGAGTGGCCTAGCCAGTCTCCAGACCTCAACCCCATAGAAAATCTGTGGCGGGAGTTGAAAGTCCGTGTTGCTCGGCGACAGCCCCAAAACATCACTGCTCTCGAGAAGATCTGCATGGAGGAATGGGCCAAAATACCAGCTACTGTGTGTGCAAACCTGGTAAAGACCTATAGTAAACGTTTGACCTCTGTTATTGCCAACAAAGGTTATGTTACAAAGTATTGAGTTGTATTTTTGTTATTGACCAAATACTTATTTTCCACCCTGATTTACGAATAAATTCTTTACAAATCCTACCATGTGGATTCATGGATTTTTTTTTCACATTCTGTCTCTCACAGTTGACGTGTACCTCTGGTGCAAATTACTGACCTCTATCATCATTTTAGGTGGGGGAACTTGCACAATCGGTGGCTGACTAAATACTTTTTTGCCCCACTGTATAAGAGCCTTTCAGATCTATTTTGGCAAATTCCAGGCAAGCATCATCGCTTTTACTGAGGATTCACTTTAATCTGTCCAGTCAACCATACAGGTCTGAGTGGTCGAATAATGCAGAAGTGGTTGTCGTTGTGGAACGTTCTCCTCCCTCTGTGGAACAGCACTGGAACGTCACCAGAGTAAATGGTAAATGGCCTGTATTTATATAGCTGCTAGTAACAAACTCCTGTATTTATATAGCGCTTTACTAGTCCCTAAGGACCCCAAAGCGCTTTACACATCCAGTCATCCACCCATTCACACACTGGTGATGGCAAGCTACATTGTAGCCACAGCCACCCTGGGGCGCACTGACAGAGGCGAGGCTGCCGGACACTGGCGCCACCGGGCCCTCTGACCATCACCAGTAGGCAATGGGTGAAGTGTCTTGCCCAAGGACACAACGACCGAGACTGTCCAAGCCGGGGCTCAAACCGGCAACCTTCCTATTACAAGGCGAACTCCCAACTCTTGAGCCACGATCGCCCACAAGTGTCTGTTGGATTCTTGGTCACCTGCCTTACTAAGGCCCTTCCACCCGGTCCCACACCTTGATCAGCACCAGCTCCAGGAAGAGTCCTGGTGCTTCTAAACTTGATGGAGGCCATTGTGCTCACTGGGGCCTTCATGAAGTTTGTCTGCAGCCTTGATTTGTGTTTGTCTTGTCTTGGAGGTCTACAGACAGCTCCTGCACCATAAACTATGAGCTGGCCTTTCTTGTCCAATCAATTAAATTTACCAAGGCTTGACTCTAATTAAGTTGCAGACAAGAACAGGAAATGCAGCGCACCTGAGGTCAGTTTCGAGTGTGACGGTAAAGGCTGTGAATACTTATGTGCATGTTGTATTTTTGGTTTTTAACTAATAAATTTGGAATAAAAGCAAATGTATTGAAATTCTCAAGCAAACTTTGTCATTAGGGAGTGTTGTATTGGAAAATGAGTTTAATCCATTTAAGAATAAAGCTGGAATAACAGCTTCCCATATTGTGAAATGTAATATCCGTTTTGCTCCATATTTTGGGCACCTGAACATGGTAATGGGAAAAATATGTTCTTGTTTTTTTTAAAACAAACAAACACCTGCCTGCTTTCTATGGCTTTTACTGTATATTAAGACAATCTCATAGAGCTGTCGTGCCACTTGCATATCGATTGTGAGACCAGATACTCTGTCACAACTATGAAAGTGGTCACCAGCCTGTTTTTGTGTCTTTGGGTCTTTTCACACCTGTGGTGTTTAGTCTGTTTACATCAAAAATGAGTTATTTCCACCATCAAGGTACTAAAAATGTGCAGGTAGATATATCATAGGCATCAATATATGGGTTAGCAGCTAACTGTGATTTCTATGTAAACTGTCCATGTTCTCCAGTAGTCCGGCACACAGCAACATCTCCCTGTATTTACTTCTGTTACTCCTGCCACAGACACAGCTGACCAGTAAGCAGAGTGAACAGTCTCACATGGTTTGTAGGGATGAATTAAGGTTTGCAGAGTTCAGTTTGACTCTTCTGTGTTAAAAGAAACCAAATCACAGGAATAAGCTGCAAGTTTACAAACACATCCACAGATGCAGACCAGAGTAGCCAAACTGTAGGTGTGTCCTTTCTGATCCCCAAGGTAACGCCTTATTACATGTGTTGATAGTTGCTGCCATATTATTGTGAAAAAATATATTGCAACTAAAAATGTAAAACGTCCCTCTCTAGGTGCGCATCGGTACACAAAGGCAGTCCAGTCACCCAAGACTCCAGCACCAACCACAAGGCCATCCAAAACACCGCCAGCACCATCTCAAGTATGTAGCATGCCAAACGGCACAATCTGTCTACCGCAGCAACAGCCTGCGCCCACATTTGAAACTTCTGACAAGCCATGTGTATATCTACAGACTGCATCTCTGACAGCGACGCCAGAGAAAGGACCGCTTCAACCCCCTTCTAGGTCTTCGACATCTCCAAGTCTTAGCAGGTCAATAAACAAGACCACTCAGCAGCCCACCGAGTCACAGCCCACCACCGTCGCCATCACCTCCACCTCTCAGTCTTTGTCTTCCAGCCTTAATGTGCCCGCCTCTTGCTCTGCCACTACCCTTACTTCAGTCCCCCGTTCTGTATTATCCACTGCTGCCTCTTCAGCCATTTCCAGCTGCTCCACACCCACTACTCTCCCACAGTCCGTCTCCGCCACAGCATTTCATGCCAAGTTTGGTCGGACCAGCAAATATGCCACAAAAGACATGTTTGGTGTCAAGTGTGTAGTGGACTTTGAGAGGATCTATGGCTTCTTAAGTACAGTTCAAAAACCGAATCAGGATTGTCAACTCACTCCCATGGGTAAGCATCGCTGAATATTATGGCAGAATCCTTTTGCAACAAACACATTGAACATGCTGAATTTCACACGTAAACCTTTCCACAAATATCCTGTGAATGTGAAAACTTAACTATGAAGTCATCTAGGATTTTCAAATGTAGGTGTGTCTGCCAGGAGGCTGAGGGGTTGCACCGGTGCCGTCAGTATTTTATGTAATATTCATGTGAGGTTAATGGAAAAAGGTTCGTTTCTGTCTTCAGAACAACAGGATGTCTTCACGAGAAACAAATCAAAAGTTATTCGTGTTGGTAAAGCTGTACTCAAGATGTGCTTCTTAAATATAAGACAGAGTTTAGTTTGCTAACAGTCGGGTATTAGTCTGTAAAATAATACAGCAGTTAACTGTAATAGTAAAAACTCACGTCTGTTGTCTACATAGAAGTTCACATTTAACGACTTCATTTGCGCTCAGCAACTTTCTTGTTCTGTAGAAAGTAAGCACGATACAACCAGCTGATGGCAATCTGTCTATAAGTCGACAGCAATTATTTGTCAACCTTCATCAATGTCTTTGGGAGTGATTGCAGTCTGACTGTAACTGTCTGCAGCAGCGTCCCCTCCCATCAGGCAACCTGTGAATGTGCAAACCCCTCAAGCTCCGGGAAACCATTTTGGTCGTCACAAGTTGACCCCAAATTGTTTGGACACTTCATAAAATCTAAACACAAAAGCAGACAATGATATGCAGGTCTTTTAAAGCATATATTCAGTTCATAATAGTACAAAACAAGTTCTCAAATGTTGAAACTGAGAGTTTTTTTTATTGTATTTTTAAAAAAATAGAAGCTTATTTTACATTTTATGCCGGCAACACCTGTCTTCACCGACAGGTGTTGAAATGGAGATGTTACCAACAAAGAGACTGAAAGAGATATTTTTTTTATTAAAAATTGAAGAAACAACATATAAAACCAGGGTACACCTACTCTGTGAACTCCTTTTACACTATTATGAAACAGACTTGGTGCTGTCTTTGACCAAAGCTTCGCTAAAAAGGAAAAACTGAAACGTGCATTGTGTTCTTGTTCCTCTGGTTACTCAAAATATTGGATCGATCCTGAAAGTCTGTTTATAGCTTTCACTTGATGAATTTACATTTGCTAATAATACATTTTGTCATCCAGAGAGTGCCATAGTGTTGGACCTTTTAATGTCTCTCCCAGAGGAGCTTCCCCTGCTAGATTGCAACAAACTGCACAAACATATGATCCAGGTGAGACCTGCTGCTTACACACAGCCGTCGTCTTCATGTGATCAGGCTTTGAAAGCCCTGAAATTGTTTTTTCTTTTGAGGATAAAATTACTTTGATTGAAATAAATTTCATTCTTGGCTTTCACTGGAGGCCGAGGACAGTTGGTGATCTGTGCTGGTTAGGTTTTGTCAGCCGTCTGGCTTTTTATGTTTCTGGCAGAACCTAAAAATAGGAACTTTTTGCTCCAGTGTTTTGATGAGACCCTCTGTGTTTCAGATGTACCAGTGTCTCTCTGCCCCCGCTGACTCTAACACGACAAGAAGAAGGTTTCAAGAACTGGATGATGAACTTTTTACTCAGTTAAAGGCACTGGTTCCTCAAGACCATCAGACTCCTACAGGAACTACCGACAGCACTAACGTCACGGACGGTGAAGGAAAGAAGTCACTGATGCACAAAGCCGACAGCCAATCAACACAGAGCTCTACCACATCTAGCAAATTAGATTATTCAAATGTGACACCCCCTCATCTTAACCCTTTTATTGTGCCGCTGACACTGTTAAAGCGTAGACAGGAATCCATAATTATTTAGACGTTGTTGTTGTAGTGATTTTAAACCCATTACTGAGCTTTCAGCTCATCACAGTATGTTAAGTGTCAAAAGCTCCTGCTAATTGATTTTCTTTATTTGTTTGAATTACGTGGGTTCTTATTTCAAACTTTCGAGCTGTATCATTCATGCAAAGCTGTTCTTTCAGCTCATTATGTTAGTACAGTTAAACAAATGCATTTGGGACATTTAGCTTCTTTTTTTTAATTGAAATGTTTCCTGCAGATAACTGTTTGACTTTTTAATCTAACTAAACAACACTTCCAAACAGCACTTTCAGATCTTTCATCTATGAGAATGGCTGAATGTAATAAAACTATATTAAGTATTCCCTCGCCTACCCAAACCCTTTAATTCAGGTGTTCCGATCACTTCCACGAACACAGCTGTATAAAATCGAGCTCCAGGCCTGCAGACTGGTTCTACGTTTGTGAAAGAATGGGTCGCTGTCATGAGCTCAATACATTCCTGCGTGGTATCATTACAGGATGCCTGTGCAATGCTGAATATTCCAGTCTGCCAGTAGTATAACAAAGTGAAAACCACTGGGAATGAAAGCCTTCAAATGAGCTTGAGAGCAGCACTTAGACGGCTTCATTGAACGGGTTTCCGTGGCTGATCAGCTGCATCCGAGCCTTACATGAAAGGTTTTGGATACAGTGGTGTAAAGCACTGGACTCCAGAGGACACGTGTTCTCTGGAGTGATGAATCACACTTCTACGTCTGGCAGTTTGGGTACAGGAGTCTGGATTTGGGGATTGGAGAACAGCGGACCTGACTGAATTATGCCTGCCTATTCAGCAGCTGCTGGGACCTGGAGGAGGAAGAGCAATAGATATGCAGCTCATTGACCTGCCAACAGTTCTGTTCAGCACTGTCTACAGAAAGCATTGTAAATAAAATATCAGCATATTTTGATAAATGCAAAAAAGTACAGGAAGTTGGAAACGTAATTTTATTAAGTAGACCTGGGTTTGAATGGTAGTGTCACAAATGTAAAAAATCCATGATATAAAAAATGAAATTAATACAATGGATATTCTGTCCTCACAACTGTTTGAGAAATGTTAGTTAAAAAAGTTCAATAAACCTGTGTTCTTGAAAACGCGTGTCTGTTACTGTAAAACATGAAAATAAAGTGCATGACTATGATGTACAATGTGGCCACATTGGCATATGAAGCACCACTCACGATATAACAGTTCTGTAAACAAAGTCATCACCAAGTTAACGTAACAATGCTCAGCATGGTAAATTAATCAAATGGACTATTATTGGCATCCCATAGACCAACACTGGCAAAGTTATTTCATGTTTGCTAGCGAGCTTTATTTTTTGTTTTATTTTAAGTTCGCCAAAACTTTACGAGTCCATTTTAAATCCATGAATCTGAGTTTTTCCTCTGTAAGGATTATTGTTGGGCCTACCTTAGAATATAAAGCGCCTTCGGGTGACTGCTGTTGTGATTTGGTGCTGTATAAATAAAATTGAACTGAATTGCTGTAGCTCAGTTTTTTCAGCTGTAACATTTAAAGCATTTCTTTTACCAAGTTGTTAAAAGAAGGAGGTTTGTCTAATTTCCAGTGGAGAAGAATAAACCTTTGAGCCGTGACTGAGGCGAAAGCAATCGCTTTTAGCTGTGGTGACGAAACCATAACAGCTTGGGCAGGAATCCTAAAGGTGGAGATGTGGGCCGATGGTGAAATTGTTCTGTTGCATGTGTATGAAAGACCTACACATTCTTGTGAATTTGTGTAGCCGAGGGCACCCCCAAAACATATTCCCTAATGTGGTTGGAACCTGATTGGCATCTTGCACATGCTACACTCACAGTTGGATACATTTTTGCTTGTCTGTAACTAAGTACTCTCTTAAATTGTATCAAACATTGTCTAATACAGAAAGCTCTAGACAGAGCTGCCAGAATTCTTTGGGAATTTCCATTTTGAGATCCTTTATCCATGTTAATCTAGTTTTTTCCCAGCTCGGTGAATCTTGAAATAATTTATTCAAATATTGCCTTTTGCACAAGGGTCCAAATCAAGTATGTCATCAGTAACTGAATGATCTGGTGGTTGTGAAAGTCTGAAGTGCTTACTAGTAAAGCTTCAGGCTTGTAAATACCTAAAAAAAAAAAGGTGATGTAAAGGTCGCGGTAGAATTTCTCAAACTACTCATTTATGGCTGATGGGTGGGTAGATATTGATCCATCTGGCATCCAAATTTCTGTTTTATGTTTAAGAGAAGCTTGTCTTAGTTGGCGTTGGAGGCCCAGCTGTGTGGCGCCCCAGCCTACTCCTTGCCAGATATAATGATGGCAAAGGTGTAGGCCAAAGATGAGGACCTGCTGTTACTGAATCCCCAGCTCTCTCTTCCAGGTGGGGCTAGGGCTCCTGCCATAATTCCTCCTTGCTGCAATCAAGACTGCAAAAGTATAAATGAACACATATGGAATTATGTAGTAATGAAAGCCGCCCTTTGCTTTGAGTCCTGCTTTGCTCCCTCTTGGCGTTCTCTCCATGAGCTTCATGAGGTTGTCTCCTGAAACGGTTTCCAACAGTCTTGAAGGAGTTCCCAGAGATGCTGAGCACTTGTTGGTCCTTTTGCCTTCACTTCTGCATCGCACAAAGACACGGCAGGTGGAACCAAAGATCTCAAATGTGGACAGACCAAAGCACAGATGTCCTCTGGTCTAATGTCCACTCCTTGTGTTTCTCAGCAGCTGTTTGACCATAGAGGCCTGATTCACACAGTCTCCTCTGAACATGTAGAGATGTGTCTGCTACTGGAGCTCTGTGTGGCATCTATCTGCGCTCTGATCTGAGCTGCTGTTAACTTGTGATTTCTGAGGCTGGTGACTCGGATGAATGTATCCTCAGCAGCAGAGGGAAGAAACTATATTTTGTGCTTGGGCTTTGAGGCCCACAAATGCCAAAATAAATACATAATTAAATTTGTAATTAATTAATTACAAATTAAAATTGAAATAATTAACTATATCAGTCATTACTATTCCATTAAAGTGTTTATTATTTATTAAATGCTTCAAATTTCTTTAAATGCCTTTGAATGATTTTACATTTTTTTTAATTAATGACACTTTAAAAAAATATTTAATGATGTGGCTGTAGCTCAGGAGGTAGCGCAGGGCAGCTGCTGATCAGGAGGTTGGTGGTTCAATCCCTGGCTCCCACAGAGTGGACGAGTATCCCACAGCCAGCTTGGATTAATGCACCTCTTTCTAGATGATACCCATAGGTCAGGTGCTTGGCACACAACAAATACTTCACCTTAGAATGATGAAAAAAATCCGACTTGTGAATATTGTAGTCGCAGTAACACATTGCACATTATGTGTAATATTTTATTAGGAGAAATCAGGACAAAGTGATGCCATATAGGGGGAGACACTTCTTTTTCCATGAAAACAAGCTTGAACACTAACATGAAAATTTTGCATGGATCCAATCTACTTAATATATGATCATCAATTACACAAACACTCCAACCACTTTCTGAACCAGCAAGGCTTCAGATGTCATCGGTGACATCACTCACCCTAATGAAGCAAGCCTCATGACGAAGAATCTTCATAAAAGACTTTCTGGTGACATGTTTGTTTTTTCTTAAGGAAGTACAGGAGAACTTCTGTCGTTTAAAAGATTTAATTTGACTCAGCAGTTGAAATGACAAGTTTACAGTGCCGGATCTCAGTGTGAAATCAGCCGTCTGTCTCACACAGAGGATGACCATCAGAGCGGGCTGTACAGTTTTATAAAACAAGAACAAACAAGTATTGTTATGACTGTCTTCTTCTGGGAAGCAAAGTGGCGGTCCTGCCGTCTCCCTGCGAATCTTCTCTCTCTGTTCACATCTGGCCTTGTCTCGTATCTGCTCTTCTCCTGGAATATAACAGAAAACTCCTCCCTGCCTAACCTTGATTAATATTATCCTACTGATTCTATCTATTATCTAAGTTCAGGATATTCTGAACCCTGATCCCTTGGCCCAGAAATATCATCCTGACTTTTAAACGGTATAATGTGTAAGCATGTTGCAAAACCCTCTGCACAATCACGATAATCCAATTCCCTCTTTAATGAGCACATAGCAATGTGTATAAAAACAGCTTTATTTAATCATTTTATTCCTAATACTGGATTTCTTGACACATACCCCGAAGCCTCAGCACAGTCCGTTCCATCACTAACAAGAGTTATTGGCCAAATTTTGTGAATTTTACATTTTGATTTGTATTTTTTTCCACTTCACAACAAAACATGCTAATTGTCCTGCAGTGTTCAGGATTTTATGTGCAACTGTTTGCAAAAACATCTGGTATTATTAAAACATAAACGTAGCAGTAATTTATAACAAGACTTCAATATAACTAAACAGCACAAGTTAAAGAACAGTTCCTATTTACATTTATGAATATCTTCTTTTTAAAAAGTATATAATATAGCACATGTAAAGTATAACAAAAATGTGTAACAATTTTGTATTAATTTTTTTTTTCCTTTCTGTATTTCAACAACCAGTGTTTTTACATGTAAAGGACATCAGACATTGAATAAAGTGAAATGAAACAATAAATCTTTTCATATTTTTCAATAACAGTTCAAGAGTTTGCATTCTTCTCCTGGACCACGGTGTGGATCTTTCGTAAGTTCTGTCGGACTCGAACAAACTCCATCAGCTGGGATTCCTCTCGTACCTCCTCATCTTGTTTTCTCTCTCTCTAAGAGACAAAGAGAAGCACATAGAACTTATTATTGAAAATAAATGACAGAGAAAAAGTAACTTTTTCATGTCATAAAAAGGTCCTTTTTATGACATAATATGTTTATTGTTTATGAAATACATTCTGCGTGAATGTATGCAAATATTAAACGCATTGAGTAAGAAGTGCTTTAACTGAGTTCAGTCCGTTTGCGTTCTGTGTTAATAATGTTCTTCATGATATCTGAAATCCACTCATTTTATCTACAGTCCTTCCTTAGTACAATTATGTTTTATATAGTACCAAATCACAACAGCAGTAACCTCAGGGTGGTTTATATTGTAAGATAAATACCCTACAGTAGTCTTGGAGGAAATGGTCTTGAACCCTACTAGACACTGTTTATAATGGATGATCCGATTAAATGAAGGAACTTACTAAAAGTAGCTAAAGCTGGTGCAACACTTTAAGTTTACTACCTCATGCTGTTTCTGCTGACGTCTGAGTAGGACTTTCTCCAGAGGAGTCCTACTATGTTGTTCCTCATCCTGGTAACTCTGTTCCCTTTTCCTCCTCTCAAGCACCTGCTGAAGTTCTGATCTGCTGCTCAGAGCCAAACCCCTTTATCCATAAAGGAAGCAGAGAAAAACTGCAGTTAACATGAGAATACGGGGCTGTTGAAATGCTACCACACCTACCAGCGGAAGGTGTTACATCAAGAGGAGGTGGGACCTAAGGAATCTTCAACACCTAAAATCTAGACTAACAAAGAAGCAACTAGTAGCTCAGTGTTCCAGCATCAGGAAGCAACTGTTATCACAACTGAAGATTGATGAGGTAAAACTCGAAAGCTACAGCAAGGGGGAGCCATGATGTCAGGTAAAGGCCTACTGGTAAAATCAGACCCTACTGACTGATTTACCAAGACTATGTGAAGTACCTGTTAGGTTTTGTATTGTTGATTGTCATTTATGCTTAGAAATATTTAACCATATATGCTTAGAGGTATATAATCAATTGTGTAGTGATAGGACTGTGATCTTTAACAGGCTGCAAAGGCTTGGTGTGTATTCCACACTAGAATGCACACCCACATCCTGGGAGCACGAGAGAGGTCGTACCTTCTCTTATTGTTTTATGGTAGGATTAACGTAGTTGCATCTGTTCTAGTCTAAGTGCTTTTTGTTTAGATGAGCTGCAGGACTTCCTCACCGTGTTATCTAGGGTGAGGGGGAGGCTACCCTCTTCCTGACCAAGGATGTATGACCCTTTGATCAGCAGTACCACACACACACACACACACACACACACACACACACACACACACACACACACACACACACACACACACACACACACACACACACACA